CATGTGCAGGAACAGAATATTTTTATTTATTGATTACCTAACTGTCCATGCTGTCTGCACATGTTAAAGTAAGCTGTTTAATAAGTCTCCTGCAGCTTTTCTTAAATCAGTAGATATTTGCAGTTATTTTGGGTGGTGTTAATGTGTCAAGATGAGAGAAGCTGTGTCTCAGTTTAGTGTCAGGATCCTCAGTGAATGAACTTCTAAAGCCAAAAAAATAAAGAAAATCCAGGTTTTTCACCTGAGAATGTTAGGTTATACAGACTTTATCACTTAAATAATCAAGTATTTTTTGAGTTAATGCGTGAAACATACTGCATTTTCAACATCACTTTTTTCCCCCTTCAAATTGCTGAAGTTCACCACTTCATGAAACAAATGACCAATGTAAGTTGGTTTATAAGATGCAACAAAAGAAACACTACTCGTGCTGTCGAAACTCAAAAACTAAACTTTACAAAAGCAGACTTGCATTTTGGACTAATCTTGAATGCACCTATGAACTGTTGACTTTGAAGGATCAGTCCCTTCCACTGTGATAGAGCTATTGAAGTCAGGCTGCCTTGATAATGCATTCATCTACGGATTTCTGATTTGTTTTCCTCTATCCGCTGTAGAGTCACTGGTTTTCAGCGACCCAGACTTTAAGGAGGAGGACCCAAACTTCCTGTCCCGCAGTGAACGCTATGATCATGCTGTTCGAAAAAGTGCCCAAATGATCCTGAAGCTCCGAGAGTATGGCATTGCTGACCCAGAGGAGATCTACCAATATAAGAAGTATGCAACCCACACTCAATGAAATCTGCTGTTAGTCCTTTAAAATGCCTTACAAAGAGTTTAAGAGTTTAAAATGGTTGTAATTACAATATGTTGAGCCAGAAGCTAAAGGTAACACCACTATGTACTCTTGAATATGCTTTAACAATGTTTTTAAAAATGAAGCAAACTATTAGGACCTGTGACAGAATCACAGGCGTGTTGTTTATGGAGTATATTGTATATGGGAGATAAACTGTAAGGCCACTGCACTCTGACTGTACTTTATGACAGTGAGTCAGTTATATAACCCGCCTCTTCTGATGTGCAGTTTACAGAATGACGTTCCCAACATTAATTTCCAAATTACAACAGGTGTCACAGTCATTGAGTGGATGAGGGATGAATCCTATTTTTTTTTTTCCACAAATGGTCCTGATGTGGTGCAACATTTCACCATGTTGATCCTGTAACTGTGACAGCTTAACCGTACGATGGTTGAGAAATGTGAGGTGATGGCACGAGACATAGTGAATTATTCAATTTGACTTAAGGCACAATGTGTACTAGGATAAGCTACTCACACTTATCCTGTGTAGGCCTGCGTGGCTTTGAAAAAGACAAACTCAGTTGGAGCAAAGTTCATCTGAGATAAAAAATAAATGTGTCAAAGGGCACGCAAGCTCCAAGCTTTCACCAGTGCTACAGTGTAGTGCAGTATAAGATAGATAATTCTTCAAGAAGTGGTAACTTCTTGGACATTTTTCTTGACCATATCAGACAAGTTTTGTTTAAGCTCTTTGATACAGTACAACTTTACTTGCACTGTATCAGAGACTGGACATGCTCCTGATATGCTTGTACTTGTTAGACATGTTTTGTGCAAACAAAGACGTCACAACTCGCACAAAAGCAACTGCTTTTACAGAGTTTTTTTGAGATTTCAGTCAGGCTTTCACTGTGCTGGGTTCTAGCACAGGTGTTCAGTCAGGCCTATTTGATCAATATGCAGTGGATTTTATACAATTATCTTTTTATTTATACGTGCCTGTACCGTTTGTACTTTGCCTGCTCTCTTCAACAGTAAATGATTGTAGGATAAGTGGGCAAAGGATCGGTTTTCAGAAGGACGTCAACCAGGGCACTTGACACCCGTTGAAAAAAATGTACCCATAGTCCTCATATGAAGCTTGCTGTAGTGGGGTGTTGATTAGTATTCCAGTATACGGTGGGCTTACCAACATAGAGCGTGAGTCTGTGAAGGTAGAGTTACACATTTTCTAAGGCAAGTCAGAAGGTAGGGAGGGGCTGCATGCAAATACCAAAGTGAATAGTGGTTAGTTATCGTTGCTAATCAATGAGTCTGATAGACAGCAAATGGTAAGAGAATGAGGGATCTGGCAGTCAGAAAAGGTAACAATAACAATGGTAATGGAATAATGAGTGACACTAGGAGCAGCAAAAGATCTGCTATTTTCTTCATCACACCTGAATACGTTTTCAGATGACCGTTAATGACAAGAAACAACACCAGCAAGAATGCAAGTTGTTATTAAGACCAAAGGAGGCCACACAAAGTATTAGGCTTTTTGGTTATTATGTGTGAAAAAGAACTATTTACTTGTTTCAGTTTGTTATTTGCCAAATAAATAGCAATAATGTTTCAGTTTTACACAGGTTAAGTGTTCTGAAAGATTTCTACAACGTTTATGTTTTCTCATTTTTATGACAGGTGGTCTAACAAACTTGTCAGTAATCTAATGTTTGAATAACAGTGAATCTGAACTTCAGCTGTGTATTCTTCACCTTCCCTTCACCCAGTATGGTTAGAGGCAACACACACGAGGCTATGGGTCTGCACTTTGCCATGTTCCTCCCAAGCCTGTACAGCATGTGTGACCCTGAGCAGGCCAGGAAATGGTTGCCTCTGGCAGAATCCTTCCAGGCCGTGGGCACATATGCCCAAACTGAGATGGGTCACGGTCAGTCCTGGATTCAGCCCTAAACTTATTTACTTGTTTATTGCTTACAGCCATTGACTGCAACTTATTCATGCTATTCATGCTGAAATGGCACAAATTGGAATCTGTGTTTTTTGAATGTTTAGCCATGATGATGAGGGATGAACAAAAGGCCAATTTCAGCAAGTCTGAACAGCTGCTTTAATAACAAGAGTAGCTCTGGAGATTTCCTGTGTGTGTTTGACAGATCCAAATCCTGTAGAAACATTAAAGTAGCTGCATGTGCGTCCTAACAAACCTCCGTGTTATATTAACAAGAGAGTAGATTCTGCTTCTTTGTTAAACATGTAGCTGTATTCATTTGTATAACATAGCTCCACTAGTGGTTGCCCCCTTACATCTTAAAAACTAGTTGTTTTTCTTTACCAAATGGATTCCCATCAACATTTTATTAGTTTTGCTGCTTTCAAACTCTCTACTCTCTCATTCCTCCTTTATGTAATGATGCTGCATTGATGATAAAGCTTGTGTGTATTTTGATTGCTGCGTGTTGATTCCATCCCACTTTTTTTTTTTTAAAATAATTGCTCTGTTTTCAATCAATCTGAATCAGCAGTTTAGTTTTTCTTGTCAAGTTTGTGTTTTGTTTGTGACATCTTGATTGATCAATCTTGTATCAAGAGCAAGAGAAGCAGCATTACACGCTGCAGAAATGCAGTTTGGTCCGGGAGTCCATAATGAGGCCTCTGAATGTCTCTTTGTAACCTAAGAGGCTGGTAAATCTTTGTGAGGGAGAATGTAGGCCAAACCAGCTATTGTTTGTTGCCCTTCTGTAACAAAGCCAAGTGGATGTTTTGAAAATTGTGTTTTGGTCCATGACTGGGCCAGCGTCCTTGATAAGTATTTGTGTAATGACCTAATATTCCCTCGACTACTTGTGTTGGTCTGTTGGGCTTTAACATTGTCTGTGGTTCTGTCACATGGATGCTGTTGACACAGTGTTGCCTAAAATGAACGCACCAAGGCTCAGTTTTAGTGTAGAAAATATCCAAATCATGTCGGTGTGCTTCTTTTGACTGCCCAGAGAAACATGTGTAAAATGGATGAGGAGGTAAAATAATAATTTATACAATTATGAATTAAACTGAAAAGCTCTCAAACATTTTTGGTGGCTTTCAAACTGACCAGTGGAACACCTTCCTAGTAAAAAACAGGATATTTATATGCAGCAGCTTCCTTTAAAGACGGAAAGGAGACGGTGAAATTAGGAGTTTGATACAGAACCAATATTTTTGATTTGATCAGATACTGTGTATCTGCAGCCTAAACTCTGGCCAATACTAAAGTCTCATACATACCTGACACTTGGTGTGGGGAATTGTTCTGATGCAGCTACTAAGAACAAATGGAAATGAAATGAGTTTTTTCAGTAAATCATTCAGCGATTCAATTATGCATGACGTTCTCAAAAGCTGTTTTTAATTTGTCTTTGTCTGTCTTTACTGTTGACCCACACAAATGGTCTTTATCTCCTCTCATTTCTTCTTGGTTTTGAACAATATCCATTCTAACCCAAATTTCCCCCCCTCTCCCTTCTCTTCTCATTCGTGTGCCCTTACATTGGCTTTAATGTTTCGTAAAATGGCTTCCATAAAAACTTCCCTTTCCATTTCCCTCCTTGCATCTTTCCACATCACCACTTGCTTTTCTTTTCCTATTTGCTCCCTTCTGTCTTGCGTGGCCAAGATGTGTGCACCCTGACAGGCCAGAGCCTTTGGATCTACATCTGGGGATGTTCCTGCCTACACTCCTCAACCAGGCCACCCCAGAGCAAATGGACCGTTTCTTCATGCCCGCCTGGAACCTAGAGATCATCGGCACCTACGCTCAGACTGAGATGGGCCACGGTAAAATGGCACTGAAACAGAGCAGTCCAAAGCAGCAGGCGTGTTTAGCACAAGGCAGCGTTGTTGTTGTTTTTTTCAGACAAATCTGTCAAACAGTGATTTTTCGGCTGCGTTCTCAATATACCCTCAAATTCTATTGTAATAATTTTAGGTTTTCAATTGTTTTTAATGGAAAAGCAGTTTGTTGTTGCATGTTTAAGAGTTTGTAAGTTATCATGCACAAATTAGAGCACTAGGAGATGTTGTATTTAGTGCTGACGTATTTTCTAAAAGGGTAATTTGTACTAAACCTGCAATAATAATCTGACATAGGTCATCGTTGGCATGCAAGTGGGAATCTAACCACTTGTAACCATTGCCAATATTTGTATAGGATGCAAGTGAAGCTGCAAGAGTGATTGGAGACATTCTAAACAAATGAAGAGTTTAACTTGATTGTTTAGTTTAAACGCAAACAAAATATCTATAGCCATCCATTATTGCAAACGACCTGAGTTTGTTTGACAGCGCTTCAGCACGTATTATATATTTTGAAACCAAAGATGCATCAGAGGGCTTGTGTTCGTTGCCCTCTTGTACAAGTATAACGTTTTATTTTTTCAAAATAAAAAAAGAAGCAAGTGGCCACAGCTGGAAAAAAGAATTGAATTTGTACACAAAGTTAGATTTTTCTGTTGTTTTTTATGTCATAGCCTCAAGAGTAGTCTGTCACTCAGTGTTTTACTCCCTGATCATCAACAAACCCTCTTAGAAAACTACCCTTCTTCCTGTGGTATGGGCTCTTTGTATGTGTTTTTTGTCTTGACTAATAATCTTTTGATTGTTTTTATGTTTGCTTTAGCTTGGGTTGGGATCTGTCCTTTGTTGCCAACGAGTACAGCGAGATGCACTCTACCTTTAATGGCATGCTGCACACATGGCTTGAAATTAACTGTCCTGAAGTATGATTGTTGTATATTCAGATCTGTCAAACACATACGAGCTGCACAGCTTTACTCTTTTATTGTTTATTATTGTTGTTGTTTTTTTAAAAATGTATTATCCTGTTAAATATTTTCAGTGATGTTGTTGCTTGGATGATTGTTGCTAAAGTGTTATTATATCACATATGAATAATCTTCAGTCATGGCAGCTAATGTTAGTGGTTAGTCTTGTGTTTAGTGATGGCAGTTGTATATGAGCTTAACAGATAAATGTTATTGTTTCTCTGACATTGGTGAGTATTAACTCATTTAGTCTTTTTAGTTATGTACTGTGCATGAGTGTGTTCTGTGTGTGTGTGTGTGTTTGGGTGGTGTCTTTAATGTGTTGTCTCACACCAGGCACACACCTCAGAGGGCTTGAGACCACTGCCACATATGACCCAGCCACACAGGAGTTTGTCATGAACAGCCCCACTGTGAGCTCCATCAAATGGTGGCCTGGAGGACGTAAGTACATTTACACTGTCATGTGTCTGCTTTGTTAAGATAAATGTTATTATTCCCCAAAAAAATTATAGTGCCAGATATTGCTTTTAAAAAAAGGGAAAAAAAAGACATGCATAAGAAAAGCAATGCCTAAACAGTGGAAAAGCAATAATATGTACACACGTGGACAAAATTGTTGGTACCCCTCAGTTAATGAAAGAAAAACCAACAATGGTCACAGAAATAACTTGAAGTGGGCCAGAATACCTGCTGAGAGGTGCAGAAGTCTCATTGACAGTTACAGAAATCGTTTGATTGCAGTGATTGCCTCAAAAGGTTGTGCAACAGAATATTAAGTTAAGGGTACCATCATTTTTGTCCAGGCTTGTTTCATGAGTTTATTTTTTAAAATAATTCCACGGTTCAAAAGCAATGTCTAATTTTCACTGGTTAATTTTCACAGAATTTTTTTTAATGATTACTTTTGTCAGATTCAAGTTATTTCTGTGACCATTGTGGGTTTTTCTTTCATTAACCAAAGGGTACCAATAAGTAAGCTATGGCTCACCTGGTTGAGCTGGCGTCCCATGTACAGGGCTACAGTCCCGATGTGGAGGTCATGAGTTCGAATCCACTCATGGCCCTTTCCCACACGTCCTCCCCCCATTCTTCTCCCCACTTTCCTGTCTCTCTCTCACTGCACGATCAATATACATATATATATTTATTTTAAAAAAACAAAACAAAAAACAACGATATTGTACATGACGGTGAAATATCATACATGAGAAATGAAATTGAGATATTGCACATGAAATGCTACACATGATATAAAGACTGATATTACACAAACTACTGAAGTAACATTTCAGATGATATTGATATTATTGGTTAGATCGAAGTACGTTTGCCTTCATTCCTGCAGAAACAGGAGGAGTTACACAGGTTGAAAGGCCCTCCTGTGGCGTTCTTTCTTAGTATACGGCTCAGTAAGGCCCAACACTAGACCAGGAGTTTTTTTGCAGCCTTGAATTTGCATCTCGTTAAAATTTCTGTGATCTCAATAGGAATTTATTAATGAATAAGACTACGTAGTTTTTTGTTCTCAAGCTGTTGCAGTGCTGTCATGCAGACTGAACCTGATTGACATTCACAGTAGTTTTAACCTTCTCTCTCTCTCTTTCCAGTTGGAAAGACTTCCAACCATGCCATAGTTTTGGCCCAGCTTTACAGTCTTGGAAACTGCCATGGTCTGCACGCTTTCATTGTACCCATCCGTGACATGAACACACATATACCCCTGCCAGGTAACTGCAGTCTGCAGCGTTTTTTGGGGTTTTTTTTGGATGTGGTATTTGTGGTGAAGCCAGTCCACGTGTACCTTCCTGTGTCTGCCCCACTTTTTCTGTCTGTGGCTTGTTTTGTCACCCTTCTGTTTTTTTACACTCTCACTTTCTTGGTCTCTCTTAGGTATTGTAGTTGGAGATATCGGCCCCAAGTTTGGCTTTCATGAAGTTGACAATGGCTACCTGAAATTGGAGAACGTACGAATTCCTCGGGAGAACATGCTGATGAAATACTCCAAGGTGATGTGACAGTATTTGAGTGGCTACATGAAAAAAGAAGTGGTTTACTGAGGTTAGATGGGTTAAAAAGCATTTAAAGTTGGTTAGGCAGTTCTTCATGTGTAAGGTTTGGCCTCTTGTTCTGACAGCCTTGCTGTCAATGTGATCACGCCAAGTAAATTGCACTTTGAAGCTAGAATGACTGTGTGTGTCCACTAGGTGGAGCCAGATGGAACCTATCTGAAGCCACCAAGTGCCAAGCTGACCTATGGCACCATGGTATTCATCCGCTCCATGATCGTAGGCGAGTCAGCTCAGGCCCTTGCAAAGTCCTGCACCATTGCCATCCGCTACAGTGCCGTTCGTCACCAGTCTGAAATCCGGCCGGGGTCAGTGATTGCAGAAAACGCACGTCAGCAAACAGTAAAAACATGGCATAGATAAGGGGTTGCAAGTAAAAGCAAACACATGATTAAGGTTGTGCACTGGGGCTGAACATTTGATTTTTACTTTCAAGCACTGGGTTTTCAAGTTTTGAAACTTGAGTGCACCAGGTACACTGTTACCTACATAATGGGCCGCAAGAAAACTAAAGTTATTTGCCAAAGTTGCAAAGGTTCTGTAAGACCCTGGTCTTTTATGCAGAACCTAGAAACTAATAAGAACCATATCTACCAGATTATATGCATGGTACGTGGGTATAATATGAATTAGATTGTCGAGAAATCAAAATATGTCACCTGGAATTGCAGTACTTGCATCTTGATAGCTTCTCTGTAACATGAGCACTCAGCTTATTAAATTCGCAATAGCCTCATTGGTCAAAGTTAAAGGTTTGTAAAATGGCAACGTAATTCCAACAGCAAATGGAAATGACGGTGGTTTTGTAAAGATTTAATCTCTTATGACATCCTTCATGTGTCACATGAAAGTCCAACCTTTTAATGAGATATGAAAAAAAACCTCCAACCTCTTTGTCTGCATTCCACAGAGAGCCAGAGCCTCAGATCCTCGACTACCAGGCGCAGCAGTACAAGCTGTTCCCTCTGCTGGCTACGGCCTATGCCTTCAAATTTGTTGGCCAGTACATGAAGGATACCTACCATCGCATCACTGAAGACATCAACCAGGGGGATTTCAGTGAGATGCCTGAGGTACTGAACAGACATCCACGTGTCAAAGGTCGTCTAGGTTTAATGATGACTGGGGAGGGTAACTTTTGATCGGCTAGATTGAAGCTCAGTCTTTCCAACTATTCTTGGCGAGGTGTGTGGCCATTCAGTTTATGATTAACAGTGGTTTAATCATTAAAACTCTAGATAGGTTTGTTTATTGATATTCATGTCATCTTGGTTCGTTGTGGACTTTCATACATGTAGTATACGCTCTACCTCGTAAAAACTCTACAGCACTTCTACCAAGCAAACAGAAAGGGAGAATTTACAGCATTATCAGTTATGTATATGCAGTAAGTGCACAGCTGTAGGACCTGTTGTGAAGCTTACAATAGGCTTGCATGAAGCTGTTCTCACGCTCTCTGCCTTCCAATCCATAGCTCCATGCCCTGTCTGCGGGTCTGAAGGCCTTCACCACGTGGGAAACCAACTCTGCCATCGAAGTGTGCCGCATGTCATGTGGTGGCCACGGTTACTCGAGAAGCAGTGCCTTGCCGGACATTTACGTCGATTTCACCCCTACCTGCACCTACGAGGGCGAGAACACAGTCATGATGCTGCAGACTGCCAGGTAACTCATTACGCAGAAATGCACATCAGACCGAGTTCACAGCCTGCCAAGTTTTCCACCTCCAGAAATGCCTTTGTGATTACTATGTCGTTTAGCGCTTTTACAGTCTGTTTAATTCCTAAATACAGACGATGAAATGATAGAACACCCACTGAAGTGCACAGAAAAAGTGTGCTTTTTTATCATTTTTGTTTCGTTGTTTTTTTTTTTGTTTTTTTTTAACAGAATAAGATCAAGGCCGTGATAAATACAGACATAAACAAACACCCACACAGCAGCCTTACTGTACCACAAATGGTGGAGACACACCCTGACTCCTCCCACAGCAAAAACAAACACGCGGCACATATTATATCCCTGTGATGGCAATTATGGTTTTATATCACCAGCGCTACAAAGGTCAGCAGTTCAATTTCAGAATCCGGTCAGGTGAGATTTTGTTCTTTGAAGGGACTTTGTCTTGCTGGCAAGGATCCTTGGACAGTTATTTAAATGTTTAGTGACACAGTGAATTCAAAGGTGTTGAAATGGGATGTATAGGTTGCAATATGAAGCCAGGCTTGTATTAGGTGTAAAAAAGTAACGACAGCAAGCTTGAAATGCGTGCGACATCTAAACACCTGAACATCATTGCTACTAAAAATGAATTTGGTGGTGTTACACAAAACTATTTTTCTATACTCATTATGTCACACTGATTGACAGACATATTGGAATAACTGAATTGGGGGGGAAAGAAAAGTATTGACACAATATTGTAAGGCTTTCCGTTCATGCAAACTAAAATGCTTTGCTAGTTTGCTCATGCGTGTTTAACTATTAAACTCTAACCTGTGATTGTGCTCCACATTTGTCTCCGCAGGTATCTGGTGAAAAGCTACCGACAGGCCAAAGCGGGCCAGCAGCTGAATGGAATTGTGTCATACCTGAATGAAGCACAGAGTCGGGGGGTGCAGCCGCAACCAGTCGCTGCTCGACCAACCGTGGTTGACATTAATGACCTGACCCGCCTGGTGGAAGTCTATAAACTCCGAGCTGCCATGTAAGAAAACGACCTGATCTGTGATCTTCCTTTTTTTTTTTTTTAAATATTTATATATGTAGAAAAAAATGTGCAGTTGCTTATGGGTTTTTATTCAATGCCAAAATTTTCATTAGAGAGAAGAGGGATAAAGGCAGACACATAGCCTGTGTTGCAAGTTTTATGGTCTGAGGTGGGGTTGCCTGAGTTCTCAACAATTAACTAATGAATTTGCTCAAGTGTCTGCTTAAGTTTGCGGTTTTCTGCTGGCACATCGCCTTTTGTGATTTTTTTTTTTTTTTCTGTTTGACATGATGTGCTGTGCCGATCGCGGTGCACACTGTGAGCCGTAGTCACGTCTGAATCTGTTTGGCAGTCAGTGTCAGCTGTGGTGAGCACAGAGAGCAGCCAAGTCTGCTCGAAGGTGACATAATGTAGCCTGCCAGTTGGGACATCAGGGAAATAAAAGGGAAAAGGGTTACTCTGTGTTGGCTATATTTTTTGTGTTTCTGCATTTTTATTTGTCCTGTTGTTTAATTTAAGAATTATGAATTTGATTGTCAATAGCAAATTGGTAAAAAAAAACAAGATTCAAGATTTCAGGAGGAAACTAATATGTGCTTTTGTGTAAAGCATGAAACTGTGTTGGCAAGCTGAGCAGGTGTAAAGTATCTGTGTGTTCTTAATGTACTCCTGCTGCATCTTTGGTTAATGCAGGTTATATATGTCTGTGTTTTATAGTCTTGTTGAGCTGGCAGCAAAGAGCATCCAGCAGGAGTTGCAGCGCAGGAAGAGCAATGAGGACGCCTGGAACAACAGCGCTATCGACCTGGTCAGAGCCTCAGATGTAAGTTCAGTTCATTATAGAAAAATGCTGTGAATTAATTTCCTCATTTAATTTGCTTTGTCATCTCTTCATTAAATACAATTGTGAACCAGTTTAGCCCTGGTTGTGGCATCAAGCTACTTTCTATTCATACTGGCATGATATAGTGTAAGACGTTCAGCATCTTGCAATTCACAGATCTGTCTTTACATTTATGAGTAGAATTGATGCTGTGCCCCCTTTTATTTATATATATATATATATATACATGCATACAGGCAACCTCATTCTACTCACTTATTTCCTTTTTTTTCTGTTTTACTTGTTGCTCTGAGTCTTCTTTATTTATTTACTTTTCATCTTGTTGTTCATCTCCAGGCCCACTGCCACTACGTTGTAGTGAAGCTGTTCACTGATAAGCTCAGGGAGATCGATGACACGGCGATACACTCAGTGTTGTCAACCCTGGCTCTGCTCTACGCCCTGTACGGCATCACAAAGAACTCTGGAGACTTCCTACAGGTCAGAAAAATCACAATTTATAGAAGTAATGTGGTCTACAGACAGTGTTTAATCATATTATAGGTGTTACAGCAAGCCGCTCCAGTTTTATTTGCATACTGTTGGGCTGCCAGATCCTTTGTCAGCTTTCAAATGAAACAAGCCTCAGTCTCCTTTTTGTCTTTGAACTAACAAAATAGGGCTTTTGTGCTTTGGATCTGTATGCAAAGTGTCTTTTTTTGGGGCTGTGTACATAAAACAAATTAGATTTGGTTTAATCAGTTGAACTTTGAATAGAAAATGTAAGACTTCATGCTTGCTCGGACATGAGCAAATTTTGTTTAACAGTGACAACACTGCTGTCTATTTTGTATCATTGGGGCAGCTGCTTGAGGACCATATCTCCTGTTTGTTTTGTTCTTTTTCAGGCTGGACTGCTGAGTGTGCCCCAAGTGATGCAGATTGCTGTTCGTATCAAGGAGCTGCTATCTCTGCTGAGGCGCAACGCTGTGGCACTTGTAGACGCCTTCGACATCCACGATAAGAGGCTGAATTCAGTTCTGGGACGATATGATGGGAATGTCTATGAGAAGATGTTCGAGTGGGCTCGCCGCTCCCCTCTTAACGCCACAGAGGTTGGTCTGGTTCGCCAGAGTAACACAATAGTTGTGTCGCTATTCATTGTTCAATCACGGTGTCAGTGAAAAGTTGTTCTTTTCATTTATCTGCAGTAATGCCGTTCCCATCATGTGTCTCCTAACTCTCCTTCCTCCGGCCTCAGACAGGCTCATTTCAGATGAGACCTACCGTTTTCAAGCAAGGCAGCCATTAAAAAAATGACAAATGACAGCCTGTAATAGTGATAAGCCAGTAATAATACAATTTTCAGATCCTCTTATCTAAGAATAGCAGATTAAGACGTAGGCGTCCACAAGGAGGCTGTTGCTGGTTGGAATGTTGACACTTTTTAATATTTTCAAGTTTAAAAGTTTGAAAAATATTTTTATAGCTTTATTTTAATTGATGCATATGGTACCATTCATGTCACTATACACATGGTGGAATTATTATTTTTTTAACATTTACATTTCCCCTGACCCATGGAACAAGACTCCACTCACTGTATCGTGATCCAGTGTCATGTATTCTAGCAGCCCACTCTAGTTGTGACTGCAGCGAGAGTCTGTGCACCCTCAGCTGTGCCTGCCCACTTGTGTCTGCACTGTTGCATTTAGAAAGAAAAATAGAGGAACTGCTTCACCAGCTCTGTCACTGACCACTGAGACGAACCGTAGCTGTGATCATGATGGCAGGCTTGGAATGACAGAGCTGTGACTGTGGCTGCAGCCATCCCAGTGCTTTGGCGACCATAATTATGGCTGTGACACATTTGACTTTAATGCTTGTAGCACTGACTACATGCAGCCGTTATGGGTTTTGCTGACTGGTGCATTGTATTGACGCTCTTGTACTCCTTAATTCTTGCTGTGTGTTGGAAACACTTGAGCCAAATATTGCTCAGCATATCCAGTATCTGCAAAATGTAGTTAATGAAGTTGTCGATGCCGGCTTGTAGAATGTTCAACACTCAGGAAGTTGATAAGCATTATGAGGGACAGGATCCATCATGTGACACATTGTCTGTCTTACTCTGCTGTCTGAAATTATTTCTTAGATGACAAATAGTGGAGTTGTGGATGTTTACGCGTCTGGCTACAGCCCTAGCTGACTTGCCAGCATCCCGAACAGCTCGTTCTCATCTTTCTCTTGTCATCTGCGGCATCATGTCATTTGAATAAATCTGCATTTTAGGAAGCCTTTAGAGTCCCTGGTCAGAAGAGATTCTGTGTTTTGGGCACACAGTGGTCTTAAATTTTCACCCGCTGAACAGCTCACAAACCTTTTGTGCACAATTGGCTAAACTTAACCCCTCTCAAACCCTAGCAATAAAAACAAGACTTTAACTTTCTAAGTCAGAAAACAAGTTAGGTTGCATGCTCAGTTAATGTTTTCGTTAAACGTACATTGAACCTCAGTCAACAAGGGTCACATTAGTCTTGTTGGTTACATAAGTTACAGGAATGAACTGGCTTAAAAAGATTTCTTTGACTAAGTTTGCAGCATCGCTTTTGGACACTGTGTGGACCCACAATCATTTCTCATTAGAGAATACCTATAATCAATAACCAATTACAGATGAAAATGGTGTCTTGTGTCTAAAACCTTCTGTGTGATCATATGCATTTTGCCCTCAGGTACTGCACACTATTTCAGCTTAAATCTTGTGTCATGCATGTTTTTTTTCTTCTTCTTCAGGTCCACGAATCCTTTCACAAGTACCTGAAGCCTCTGCGGTCCAAACTGTGAGCTGACCTGAACTGGACCTTCATTCCTGACTGTGACCCTTCAACTCTGCATTCATGGACACAAGGTTAACTGTTGCTCTCATAGCAGCCCCATGATGCTTTTCATTTGCCATCAGCTGGTATATACCTGGAAGCTGAACACAACCAGTCCCTCTGTAGGCCACGGTAGATAGAAACCTAACCCTCTACAATGATGGAGAGATGATAATAATGGTTGGTTAATAAATACATAAATAAAATACAGAGATGGACAAAAAAATGGGAACAAAACCAGGTATGAAAATCGATGAAAGCACTTATGAATGAAATCGGTCTCAGCCCCACAGAAAGAGCTTTAATAATACTAAAAAACAATCATTTACAGTTTTCGATTGCCATGTTTTCTAAACAGAACTTCCATTGTAAAGTTTCTTGGTCTCTCATGCTTCACATCTTCATTTTCTGCTGTGTGCCTGAAGCGTCCTCTCTGTGAGCCATTTAAGGCAGATATGCCATCTCTCTCTTTTTTTTTTTCTTTCTTCTAAGAAGAACAGAATGCCATTATGAATGTTACATAATATCGAAGTGAATAAACTAACAGCAACATTTGTTTCCCCTGATCACAAGGACCAACATGCTATTTAAAAGCACACGGCGCTGTTTGTCATCATTTTTGTTGAAAAGTCACTAATTGGTTCATGAGATTTATCAGGTATGTAGATATCGAGTGACTTTCACAAGGTTGCTCAGACAATCTGCACCCGTGAATTAAAGAGTATTATTTGCAATTTACATATTCTCCTGTAAAATAATGCAACAAAACATTTTAGCATTGCTGTTGGATGAAACCACAGCGTGCATCCCACTTTAGAAAGAATTATAATTATTGCACTTTAAAGGTTACACCATTAAGCATCATTTCAATCAAAATGCGTAATTTTGGCTCCAAATACTTTGTTGTACAGCGGTGGCTGTTTTATGTTGGTCATATCCTGCTTTGCAGAGAACATTGGCTGTTTGAATCTATTTCGATCACTTTATTCAAGATGGAAAAACCCCCCTCCAGCTGTAGTAGAGAACCAATCTGGCTTTATTCTTAGTTGCGTCACCTTGCTCATCTGTTGCTGTGTAATGAATGTCATACTTGACTAATCCAACTTCACATACACTGGCACAGAGGTTAATTGTACTCCATTAATAGAAGCTTGGCTCAACAGACAGCTGAGAGGCCCAGAGAGGGACAACGTGTGAGACAGTAGAATGATTTGGGGCTTTCAAAGACTTACCGGCGATTAAGTTCAGCACTTTGTGGTTCTAAATTCCTCTGTTTCTGACAAATTTGGCTCACTCACATTGATTTCACGTCAGGTATGCAGACGTGTTTTGGATCACTAGATTGGACGATTCCGCTATTCCGTGCATTCACATGCTTTTGAATGTGTTTGTGTGGCGGAAAGTTTTCTGCAGGTGATGTTGCGAGGTTAAGTATGTCAAGGAAGCATGAATTTCTGCCACCTATTGAGCATTTCTTGATATGCACTGTGTATGTGTAATAATATTCTCCCTCCCTACTGTGTGGGGTTGATGTAATAAGAATGGTTGCACCCCAGTCAGCATCTGGATGAATTTTTTGTGTGTGTGTTTTTAATCAAGCACAGACTATTAACTTTTAATAAATGCATTACTAATGTCCGGTGACGTTTAATTCCAACTGACTGAATTATTCAAACATGATTAAAATACATTCAAACTGTGTAACTTATGTTTAGGTGGTAGTTTTCCTGTTTTTGTTATTACAGTTCACAAAAATGTTTTCTGAAAAACTCTTAGAAATTGACTTAACCAGCAGAAATAGAACATTTCATAGAACTGGTAGACTTGTGCTCTTTTGTTTATCTCAAACTGTAGTCCTTTTATTTTTCTCTGTGAGCAATCAACCGTGTAAGTGGGAGCTACTGAGAGTAAAAGTAGCAACGGAACTACTAAAATACATTTTTATGAGATTTTGTGACTGTGATGACACTGATGATGAAAAGAGCTTTATTCTAAAGCTGTAAACTGTAAAGATGATTTGTGTGATAATTATGTGCCTGAGGAAGGTTTCTTTCCTTAACTAATGGAGAATGTTCACTCACAAGGCTCCTAGTGTTTCACTTTCTCAAACCTTTACACTTATGATTTCTGCACAGTGACTAAGCTGTTTGTTAAGCATATTTGTGTGATAATTTGTCAATTTGCTGATTTTTAATGGTTGGTAAGTAATTTGACCTGAGATATATTAATAAAAAAATAATTATAATAATCAATGTGTGTTGTGTTTATCTTGAACTTGAGGGTAATGAGCTTGAATTGATTTCCAAGCTGACTAAAAGCCCTCTTTGAAAAACAGTGTGAAAGATGAAGCCATCTATCAGAGAGATAGGTTCTAATTTAAAATGCTACTGAGATGCATTATGTAAAGTGATCTGGCCCTTTCTGGGTGTTACCCATGCAACGACGTAGATTTTTTTTTCTTTTTGCTTGTCTGTTGCAAGTCTTCCAACTCGGTGTAAGTGCACTACTAAATTGCTGGAATCCACTTTGAGTCACAAAAATAAAAGTTTAGCTTCATTCTTATAGAGTCAAATGACTGATGTGGAGGAAACTGAATGAATTGTGAAATTTAACTACTGTATTGCTGTATAATTTTATTTTGGAAGCCATCAATATAGACTTGTGTGTTTGTTTTTACTATAAATCTGTTGACTCCTTGATCATTTTCTGCTCTAAAAAAGTAGGATTGATAAAAAATTTGACACAGATTCAAGATGAAAGCAGGTAAATAGTGGTAAAATATGAATATTTTGTACTATCATGTCTAATGTACCATATATGGACACTGATTATTGAAATTATAACTACTTAGTCACTATGTGGTCAAAAAATATTTTCCACATTTATTCATACAGAACATTCTACCAACCTGAGCTGACATAAGGCAGCGACAAAACTATGTGGAATACATCAAGACAGGAGGATGAAACTTTCATCCATTATCTATGCACCGCTTCATCCTCACAGGGTCATGGGGGGCTGGAGTCTATCCCAGCTGACTCAGGGTGAAGGCAGAGGACACCTGGACAGGTCACCAGTCTATCACAGGGCTACACTTAGAGACAGACAACCAAGCACACTCACATTCACACCTACGGACAATTTAGAGTCACCAATTAATCTCAACATGTTTTTGGACCTTGTGGGAGGAAGCCAGAGAACCTGGAGAGAACCCACGCTGCACGGGGAGAACATGCAAACTCCACGCAGAAGGATCCCGGGTGTCCTCACTGGGACGCGAACCAGCGACCTTCTAGCTGTGAGGCAACAAACCACCGAGCCACCTTGCAGCCCAGGATAAAACTTGTAAAACCTAATTTTCAAAGAAAACAGAATAGAATGCTAAAGCAGGCATTGCAGCCTGACAAAAATCTAGCTAATAAATATGAAATAGATATTAAATATTAAGAGGAGCCAACACCAAGTGAAAACAGGTACAGTCGTCCTCAAATGTATTCATACCCTCCCATTAAAGAAGGAAAAAAAACAGCTGTCATTGAAATAAGTTGAAATTGACAAAAGTAGTAATAAATAAAAATGTAATTGAAAATTATGTCATTGCTTTTGAATTGTGGTTCAACAGAAATATATACAAAAAAAAGAAAAAGGATGATGGATGCATGATGGGACCCGTAAACTAATATTTTATTAAACAACCCTTTGAGCCAATCACTGCCATCAAGTGTTTTCTGTAACTCTCAGTCAGACTTCTGCACCTGTTGACAGGTATTTGGATTTTGGCCCACTGCTCATCAGCAATGTGCTCTAATTTGACAGGTTTGTTTGTTTTTTTAAATTATTCTTGTCAACCACAATTCAAAAGCAAAGTCTAATTTCACTAAATTCTAATTTCACAAATGTTTATTTATTATTACTTTTTTCAGTTTCTTGTTATTTGAGTGACTATTGTGAATTTTGCTTTGCTTTAGTGGAAGGGGATGAATACATTTGAGGACTTGTTGAGGGTTTTCTTCAAAACATCAATGAAGCAGGAACATTTAATTAAAAAGGAACTGCTGTTCCAAACCTTTACATTTAAGACTATAAACTTTAAATAAAATGCATTGCTAGTTTCATTTTACATTCAATTCCTACAATTCTTCTTCTTCAAAAATACGTTATGTAACATGACTGATGTACTTTTTTTTTTCTCTCGTGTAAAAACTGAAGTGAAACGCACAATGAAGCCCGCTGCTGCATGTTGGTGTAGGAGTGAACAACTAGTAGCACTGTGGGCTCGTGTAGCCTCCACAGGCGGCGGGCTGTTGGAGGAGCTGGAACGGGCCCAGCTCGTCTCCTCTGTGGATAAGATAAAGTGGTAACTCCGCCCCCCCTTTGCTCCTCTCCGCGGAGCCGCATTCAAGGATGTTGGAAGAGAGAAAGAGGGAAGTAGTGACACACTGGTGGACAGTAACCTTCAGTATCGCGGCGTGTCGGACTTAAACCCCCCTGCTAATGAATTATAACCCACTTCTTTCTTCTCAGAGGTGAGTGAAACGAGACTTTTTATTCGGTTTTGGGAAGCGGTTAAAAGTTAACTCGCGCGGTTCTCAGTGGTCGTAATAGAGTGGTTTTTTTTGGGAAAATGAAAATTTAGAATATGTCAAAATCCTCCACGTGTAAGTTTTCTGTTGAATTTACGTCGCCTTTGTGAGAACCCGGTGAAGTTTTTAACGATAACACGGCTAATGTCATCCCTGGTGTTAGCTTAAGAAAACGGCCGTTTCTTCCTAAACGCGCCGCCGACAGCGTGTCCGTGCAAGCCCTTTGTTGCTAAACCCGCCGGGGCAACTGTACACGAAGTGCAGTTATTCTCTATAAATATTCCTCCTTGTTAGCCCCCCTAGGGTTAATTATGGTCGCCATGTGCCCACAAATTCATGTGCTGGGAACGTTTACACCCCTCCCATTTGTTTCTCTAACAATGCAGGAGGTGGTGTTTACACACGGCATTAACCCGGAATTTTAATTACGGTAAACTTCTGTGTAACGCCTGAAATTAAACAGGTGTCTTTTATAAGTTATAAGTGTAGCCAATACATGTGTATTTTTTGGAGGGGGGGATTTGCTCAGTGAGACAGTCCAGACAGTCATTTCATGGCAGTTTAAAGTTAATGCAGATAAATGGCAGCCGTGTTCATACATGTCACTGTGGCCTCTCCAACTCCTTCCAGCCTTACATAACCCTCCACCAGTTTCTGTCCATTAGCAGCTCTCACAGGGGTCCACTGAGCCTCGGAAGTACCTGTAGGAGCTGGCAAACACATCAGATTAATAAAATTGTCACTGATTTCTAAACAGTGCGAACTGGGTTGAAAATGTAGGTCAGTGTTACTCAGCATCTTGCAGATGTGTTGAGTGATGCTTAGATGCACTAATGCCAGTGCAAGTGCAAATACTTTTTAATTCACAGAAATGAGCCAAGAATACTTGCTTTTTCAGCTGCTCATATATTTGGTCCGTCATCATATGTGGGTTGGTGGTGGTGGTGGCTGTGGTCAAAACTGTCAGCGGTGTTTGTGTCATGATATTTACTTGTAGTCAAAGTCACGCCATGAAAGCATTGTGTTGTTTTCGGACAATAGGAGGATGTTAGTCTAATTACTGTAGCCACACGGAAGGTGTTTCAATAAATACTTTGTGGGAGACCACTGAGTCATGGGAATCATTATAAAGAAGTCATGACTGTGCACACATCAGTTTCAATATTACAGTGTTCTTACGTTACTGCTTAAAGAGAACAGTTATGACATAATAATCAAGAATTAATAGATGGCTTAGAAATGGAACTATTGATCTGTTTTACCAGCCAAAGAAAGGTAACGGGAAACCTAAAGACGCATGGTTTTGTTTAGAGTCAACAGCAAAAGCTATTGTGGTTGAAAGTGAGAAATGAGGAGGCAGTCTTGATTGCTGTCTGACAAACACACTGACACAGGTTCAACATTACGGTTAATTTAGGCAACTGCTTAAAGAGAACAGTCCTGACATAATCAAGAACACGTATGAGCTTTATTACATGCAGCATTTCAGTTTTCTTGTTGGAACTGTATAGAATTATAAAACAACACTGTAGTACTTGTTCGCATATTTTTGCCTAATAGCTTTAAATTGAACTCTGTATAACCTCATGCTTCATGCAGCGTTAAGTTAAAACTAACTGTATGACCAACTGTATGTGCATGCATCTGTGTACATGAGGAAGCTGTGGAAAGTGTTATTGCAGGGTGTTTTTCGTACCACTCCATAATAGCACATCATGGTAAATTTTGCAACTGTGAAGCCAAAGCAGAGAAAGAGGAAATTCATAGATTAAGTTCAGAAGGCAACATGCGGGTTGCACAACTAACAACTACACAACAGCTATGTCTGCATTGTTGAACGGGCATGCCATTTGCACCTGTTTCACACCTGTCACCCAGTTAATAGGCTGCACCAAGGAAAGCAGTAACCAAGTTCAAATGGGAAAGTTCTCCCTGTGTTGCTATAAGTTCACATTAGTTCAGCCAAAAGGTCACACTCGATCAAAAGCAGTAAACAAGTTCTTACTTGTTTGTCCTGGAAGAATGAATGAAGTTTAGTCTTGTTTTTTAAATCAGGCATCTCCTATATGTAGAATGCTTTTTGTTTCTGTTCTTCTTTCAGTCCAGAAGTAAGATTTAGTTTGCTGTGAAACTAGTTTTAGTGGGTTTCTCTGGTGGTTTCCAAATGCGGTCTGTTGGTCATTCGGGTCCTTCACAGATTTCCAGACACCCCACAATTGTTTAATAGACGCTGAGTTAGTGTTGAATGCACCTGCTCAGAAGCTTCTGTGATTTCATTGTTATCTCCCTACGAACAGCACACTCCAGTCCATTTTATCTCACAACAAAAAAGAATGCAGTGCCTGAAGATATAACCAATAATTCCTGTTTGTATAATTAGAAGTTTGAAACCCCCCCAGGCTTGTCCACTTGCATTGTGGGTATTCCAGTCTGTGAGATCACTCATCTCTAGGGGTTTTCCTTCCATGATCTTATCTGTTTTCAGCTGCTATGCCATAACACACCCAGAAAACAGTGAGCCTTTTTTCCTTTTAACATAACAACCCACTTCAGTAACAGGAGTATCAAGCTTCTGGCTCGCCTGTTGGAATTTTTTTCTTTTTTTTCTGCCCTCCCATGCCAACCCGGGTTCCACAGTGCATGACAAATTATATCTCAAAATATTAGGATACTCCGGAAATGGTTTGAAACCCACAGGGTCATAAACCTTAAAAGGATTTCTGTGGATACTCTGGCTTGGCCATAAAACTCCCAGTGGTGCAGGGAATAATTTATGTAGACTGTTTACGTTTATTGTGGCTTTGAAAAGCTAATTTCTCACCATGTTTCTTGAAAGTTCCAGTAAGGGACTAAATATCCTGAGCGCAGAAGGAGGTTGGAGCACGCTGCTTAATTTGTATACTCTTATTGTGCAAACAGATTAATGTTTCAACACTACTGTGTCTTCATCAGGGAGACAGCAGGATAAAATATCCAAACTTGTAATATGTCTGGCGCTGCAGTTAATTTGTGACAGTGAGTGAGAGTAGACTGCTTAGTCTATTTGATTTATGAAAGGCAATATGGGATAGCTGACAAGAAATTCTGGCAAATGACAAAATCCTTAATTTTATTGAGTGGCACGCTGCAACATACATCAAATGTTTTTTTGTGTATCTTGTTCCAAGTGTTCAGACATTGTACAGACATTAGTTATGTAGGTCACATCTTAAGGATTGTAAGGAACTGCTGGACTAGGAGCAAGGCTTTCGCTGAGGGATTGCATAGTAACTTGCTGTTATGCGGGTTTGGGCATGCAGACTCTTGGAAAAAGGTGCAGTGTTTTTGAAATGGTTAGGTTGAAGCCCAGATCCTTTTCAAACAAGACGTCTCGATAGTGAACTTGAATCACTCTCTTCTAATGGCTTAGAAATGGAACTATTGATCTGTTTTATCAGCCAAAGAAAGGTAATGGGATACCTAAAGACCCATGGTTTTGTTTAGAGCCATCAACAAGAGCTATTGTGGTTAGAAGTGAAAAATGAGGGGGCAGTTTCAATTGTTTCTCTGGCAAACACACCGGCACCGCTCTAGCTCACACACTCTCCTACGCCTTCAGTAGCATTTGCTGGCATAACGACCGTCTGCTCAGTCATGATCAGTTTTAACCCTACACACCTAGCAACAGTGCAGACGGACCAGGCTTGTTGTCCACCTTTAGAAAACTTGCCGATGAAGTGTACAAAGAGGATGTCATTTCAATGCTGCCGTAAAAGTTTTGATTGTCCTAAAAAGGTGCTGTTAAAGCAGAGCACTCCTTTTCTGCCAACTGGCTGCTGGCCCATGCACTGCAAGGCTCTTTCAGGCTCTGTCCTTTCAGGGTATCCACTTACAGCATGGAATTCGTCTTGTTTTCAATCGTGGAAACAGGGAGAAAATAAGTTTCATAAGCAGCATGGGCTTTTGTATTAGTCTAACTAGTCCAATCGCGTTTAATTGCTGATTGCTTGGATGAATATTTGAAAGCAGGAAACAATTTTGGGACTGCCATTTTTGAGGTCCAAACCCCCATAACCCATCTGATTGTTTACTTCAGTCATGCACTACTCGCCCTGAAGGAAACCGGTTTACATTCATCTGAATGTTCAGCTGACTGTATGTAAACTTAATTTGATTTCTGTGTTTGTTGTGGTTTAAATATGAAGCATTGTAGTTGGCACTCTGAAGAAAAACCTAAGTAATGAGCATGTGCCACCAAAATGAGAAAAGTATGTGACCACTGGAAATGTTGGTAATATAATTAGAAATACATGAGATTACATGTTCTGCCAGTATACCAGAAAACACTGTCTCCGCTTCTCCTGCAACTCTTGTGTCAGTTGGAGTGTTGGAAGTTGCTTCAGATCTTACAAAAAGAGGACTAAAGATGAAGGGCAGCTATAGTGACAACACTGTGACTTCCATGAATCATGAAAAGCTGACATTCCAATGAAAAACCACAGCCTTACAGGGAGATTAGGGAGTGGAAACTTTGGACTAATGGTGACGAAATAAAGAAATTTCTGAGCTGACAGCAGTCACAAAAATCGTCTTAAATAATCATCTAGAGCTGATGAATATTCAGAACAAACATTGTGGCAGTCTGGGCAATTTTATGTCTAAACAAACCTGGACAAAACACACAAAAGAGCAGCATACTGTATGTTTGACTTGCGTTAATAACCTATATCTAGAAATGAGAAGGGAAGTCTGATTCCTCTGCCAAGGTGCGAGCCACAGCAGTGGTATGCAATCAATGTTGTTTGTCAGTCTGTTTGTGTCCAAGATTACGCAAAAGCTACTGGTGCAGAGGTGGAGCATTGGCACAGGAAGAATCCATTAAAATTTGGTGCACATCCAGACCACTTTTGTTTAAACTGTGAGATAGGGCTTCGGCCTCGGCAAAGGATGTGCTCTCCACGTGT